GAGAGAACGGGGGGGGGGGGGAGAAGGCAGACCATCCCCCTCCTTCTCAGGCAGGCTTTTGCCTCTCTGGCCCTCCTTTCCTACACTCGGAGGGGCCTTAGCCTCTTGGCAAAGGTCACGTCAGGAGCAGCATCAGCTACACTTCTTAGCAGCCCAATTATAAGCTAGGGGTCCTCGGACACAACCTCTGACACACACACACACGCATTATATTCCATCCATCGTGCTGTGGTTGAGCCGCCTTCCTCCCCCAATGCAGCCCAGCCCTCCTCTTGGGAACCAACCCAACCAGCTAAAGCACAAGCTCTGGGTCTAAAAAAACCCCCAATCCTGGATGTCTTTTACCTGCACCGTTTCCAAGATGGCGTTTTCAAACTCCCGGAAAGCCTCCCAAATGGCAGCTCCTTTGGTCACGTGAAGGCCCACGGCGGTCAGCGCCCTTTCAAATATGGAGCGGACTTTCTCTATGCCTCCCTCTTGGCCAATTCCCCCAATGGAGTACTGCGCGTACTCCAGCCATATTTCTGGACCTGGAAGGAAGACCCACAGGGTCAGTGAAGGCATTCTGAAATGCAGGCCAGGCCGTAAAATTACAACCTCCTTCCAAAGTAGCAAGTTTTAAAAACACTGAAGCCTCTGCTGGTTATTCCTTGTTTTCCCCCCCTCTGTGACTGCTGAATTTAATTTTTATCCTATCTGATCACAAGCCAAACAGGCAGAATTGTTTTATTTCTAGGATACGCTAGCAGCCTCCTTATTTTTTAAAAAAGAATTTGCCAGAAATTTGCTGCCAGAAACACAAACCGCATCTGATGTGAGCAAATGTAAAAATTAAAATTAGCTTTTATCTGCAAGAGATCATTATACGTGGAGAAGAAAGGAATAGAGAGAACAATCCGGCAAGATGAACAGAAGCCTCTTTTCTTTGAACTATGGCGATTATTTTTATCCTAGAGTGGTCGAATACGATCAGATAGGCAGGATAGAAATAAAATAAATAAAATAAATAATAATAAATAAATCCGTCTTTGCAGAGAATTACTGAAGGGAAACAAAGTGCAGGCGTGGAAGAAGGGGCAGAGGCAAAATTGGAACTAAAAAAAGAATTTGCCAGAAATTTGCTGCCAGAAACACAAACCGCATCTGATGTGAGCAAATGTAAAAATTAAAATTTGCTTTCATTTGCGAGAGGAAAAGAACAGAGAGAACAATCCGGCAAGATGAACAGAAGCCTCTTTTCTTTGAACTATAGCGATTATTTTTTATCTGTCTTTGCAGAGAATTACTGAAGGGGAACAAAGTGCAGGTGTTGAAGAAGGGGCAGTGGCAAAATTGGAACCCTGCAATTCAGGTGAGAAGGGGCAAAGAATTCAGCACCCTACGGCCCAAAAACATGTTCCTGAGAAAATCGTCAATGTTTTGCGTTTGGAAGACATGGACAGAAAGGATTTCGGCCAACGTTTCTTCCTTGGAACTGAAGTTAACGCACACCTAGGACATTTCATTGTACTGGGAAATGAAGTTTTTACAAAATTGGAACTCTGCAATTCAGGTGAGAAGGGGCAAAGAATTCAGCACCCTACGGCCCAAAAACATGTTCCTGAGAAAATCGTCAATGTTTTGCGTTTGGGAGACATGAACAGAAAGGATTTCGGTCAACATTTCTTCCTTGGAACTGAACTTAACACATACCTAGGACATTTCATTCTACTGGAAAATGAACTTTTTAAAAAAATACTTGCAAAGATAGTCTTTCACAGCTCTCTCAAAGAGATTGTAGATCTTTTCCCGGTCAGAGTTTTCTGTCGCCATCCGAATCTCATCCTTCAGCCAGTCTAGCCAGATCTCTGCAAAACACAAGACCGAGCAATGACGTTTGTCCAACGTTATCATAAGAATGATGCTCTGTCTTCTTTTTACGTCGCCAAGTTGGACAACTATGAGGTTAGAGAAATAACTACACAGCAAAGTGGGGGGGGGGAGGACTCCTGGCCTGCCAGATGTTTTGGCATGGCATTCTCTTAATCCCCATGAGTTGGGAAGATGCAGCATCTGGGAGTTCAAGCCCCAAACACTGGGGCAGGCAAAACATCCCGTGCCCCACCTCTATACAAGGTGGGGAATTCACAGGCTTTGTGAGCATCCAAAGGCTAATTTGAACCTACAGCTTTAAAGTAGAAGCAAACACATCCATTTCAGGGGGCGGGGGGGGAAACACCTGGTTTTAAAAGATGAATTTTGGGAACAGCCAACCTTCTGTGAGGGGGAAAAGTTCGCTCATCTTCTGACGGGCTTTCCGGAGCTTGACGAGTTCTCCTTCCTGCTGCAACAGTTTGATCAGGTCCAGATGACAGTTGTAATCATAGGCGTTGATGGACAGCTTAAAAACAAAGGCGACACCGTGTTGTATTCCTAACCTTTCCCAGGAAGCACAAAAGGACTTCATTCATACAATCAGGCCAAATCAAGACGATTCTCTCGGGATCCTTGCGCTATTCACTTAACCCGTTACGTCCGCCTCCCTTGCCCTATAGAAATGTGTACCCATTCAATTGCACCATAATGCTTCTGTCCTCTTATGCAATTCCCATAATTCAGATGAAGCTGTTGTCTGGGAAGCTCCCAGGCAGACTTGCCCTAGATCTCCCAAGCCATGAAAGTGCAGGAACCTCCAAGATAATTGCAGTGTGGTATGGGACTGAAAGTTGGATGGAGCCAATGGCGTGTCTAAAACAGCCCCACGGTGGTTTTTGTTGCCTTTTGGGAGCCAGAAATAGGAGGAGGGAATCCATGAGGGATGTATTATGCAATCCTTTACGTAAAATATTGCTTTGTACCATCAGTGGAAGGTCTGTCAACTTTTGCAGAGAGACTGGAAAATCAGTTAGATTGGCTTGTTTATGGTGGTTATATGATCCAAATGGTGATACTGTGCACAAAGACCGCATAAATATTGCACGCAGGACATTAAGAACTGGGTTTCTCTTGTGGTTATAAAGATGACATGTTTTTCTATGCATGCCAAGGTGAAGTGGCTTCAATGATCTCATTTCGGTTCCCAGTAGATATTTATCTTCTCTCCCCCCCTTTAAAAAATGTCCTCGCTATGTATGTTTAGAGTATTTGTGAAAACCACTTTTAAACAGAGGCTCAGTAGTCAGTTACAGCAAAGATGATCACAAATTTTGGTTTGGCTATAGTCCAGTCCAGGAAATATACTATTTTGCTCGGCCGCGCCGCCGCCGCCTCCCCCGCCCTCTTCCCCGTCGTCGTCGTCCTCGCCATCCGAAGCCCCGGCTTCCCACAGCGCTTCGTCGTCCCCCGCCGCCGCCATCTTGCCCGGACGTCGCGCTCTCGCTCCCCTCAGGGGAAGGACCCCCCCTTCCGCTCGCCCGCCTGCCGCGCTTCCCCCCCCCGACGGGCTGGCCTCCTCACTGCCTGAATGAAAATCCACGCTCCGGGAGGGCCGCCTCAGCGCCGAAGCCCTTTGGAAACGGGTGCTTTCCCCCCCTTCAGACCGACCACCGGCAGGGGATGCGGGTTTCTCGCCGTGGGAACTTTTTGTTCAGGCAAAGCTTCGGGCAGCCCGGCGAGGGGTGCGCGCGCGGAGCCGGGGTCCAGGCGGGGGCGGGGCTGCGTCCTTCCGTTGCTTAGGGACGCGGGCAAGGCGGGCCGCCCCGCCTGGAAGGCGCAGGTCACGTGCCGCAGGATCCGTCGTGACGTCAGGAGGGCGCGCCGCCCCTCTCTCTGTCTCCTCCTTCAGTGGCGTCCTTTCAAAACAGACAAGATGGCGGCGCTTCGGGTGTGTGGAGCGAGGGCAGCGGCGGCGGCGGCCCTCCTGAGGTCTCCCCGCGCCCCCCAGCAGGCTCCCCTGGCCGTGGGGTACCACGAGAAGGTGGGAGAGGCCCGGCCTCAAAGAAGGGGGGAGGGCGCGCGAGAAGGGCTCCAAAATCCTCCCCTTGAGGGGGGGAACTACAACACCCAGCATCCCCTGGGATAGCAATCCGTGCTGGTGGGTTGTGTGGACTACTACAGCGACCAGTATCTCTGGGGGGATGCTGGGTCTTGCAGTCAAGCCAAGAAGAAGAAGAAGCCTGGTTTTGCCCCTAACTGGTTTATGGCTGGGTGGGTGGATTCTGGGATTTGTAGTCCCTTTTTTAAAAAACAAATTCGGTTATGGGTGGATTCTGGGATTTGTAGTCCTTTTTTTAAAAAAAAAATTCGGTTGGAAACTGAAAACGTGGGTTGCTGGGAAAGGGGATGATGGGATTCAGAGTCCACTGCCCTCCCCACCCCGAACGATGACTCGTTCTTTAAGAAGAATTAAAGAGACAATCCTTTTTTTTAAAAAAAGGGAAAGGGGATGATGGGATTCAGAGTCCATTGCCCTCCCCACCCCGAAAAGGTACCGTGTCTCTGATGGCTCGTTCTTTAAGAAGAGTTAAAGAGAGAATCCTTTTTTGTAAAAAAGGGATTATAATCCAAGAAGTCTCAGGTGGGGCTCCTCTTGTGCAACTCCTCAGGCTCTCAGCTTCTTGGCTCCTTCGCCTTGCAATGCTCGATTTTATTTTTATGATCAGTCTCAGGGTTTGGTTTATTGCTACTCTTTGCTTTGGCCTTAGGGATTCTTCCCCCACCCCCAGAATTGTGCTTTTTGTTAATCAGGTGGTATCAAAGTCTAGGAACTATAATAATGACAACTAATAATATGGAATGATTGAATTGTGGTTTTATGAAACATTGCAGGGGGGAGGGAAAGGGGAGCAGATGTCATTTTAGAGTTTGTGGCAGCCCACCCCCAGTTAGTCCTTTTAAGAGAGACTGCGTTTAGGTAAGTAGAAAAGGATTCTAGGCCACTGGTTCTTAAGCTTGGGTTACTCAGGAGTTTTAGACTGCAACTCCCAGAAGCCTTCACCACTAGCTGTGCTGACTGGGGTTTCTGGGAGTTGCAGTTCAAAAGTATCTGAGTAACAAAGGTTAAGAACCACTGATTCCAGGCCACCCTCCCCCTTCAGTTCCCCACCCCCAGTTAGTCCTTTTAAGAGAGAGATAAGTAGAAAAGGATTCTAGGCCACCCTCCCCCTTCAGTTTGGGCACTCCAGGGCTCCAGCATGATCTACCCACCAAGCCAGATACAGTAGATATCTCTCCAGTAGGTGGCACTGATGCATCATCCTAAATGAACGTCTCTGCTCTTGGGTGTCTAGAAGTGAAAGTGTGGGTCCCCGTGTCTGATGAAATTCATACACAATCCCCTTGACATCTAATGTGATCTCACAGGCCATTTCCAAGAGGCTGCTTCTAAAAAGGGAACTTCCATGTAACGACCGGTAGTCTTATGTTTGAGAAATGGCTTAGGCAGATGAGATACTACAAGGTCACAGCTTCTAAACTCTGCTGCAGAGACTTTGGGAATCAAAGCAGTCCAGGCTAGCTGAACTTGGTCCAGGGTGGACTTCAGCAGAATTTCCTGGGCCCTCCTGCAGTCTCTTGCGTGGAGGTTCCTTGTTGCCTCATTAAACTCCCAAGGATTTTCAGTGAACTTTGCCTGCTAGGGAGACCTGCCAAAACTTTGCCTTTGAACTTTCCCTTCCAGGTTGTCGATCATTACGAGAATCCGAGGAATGTCGGCTCTCTGGACAAGGGCGCCAAGAACGTGGGGACAGGCCTGGTGGGCGCCCCAGCCTGCGGGGACGTCATGAAGCTGCAGGTAAGTTAGTGTGTTTCTCGTACTGTAACTCCCAAATAATCCACCGTTTCGAAGCACGATAAACATCTCTTTGAAGTCTGCCCCTTGATAACTAACGTCCAAATGCCTGCAGGTTCAAGTGGATGAAAACGGCAAGATCATTGACGCCCGGTTTAAAACATTCGGCTGCGGGTCGGCCATTGCTTCGAGTTCCTTGGCGACCGAGTGGGTGAAGGGGAAGACGGTGAGCCAGCCTTTTTTATAGACCCTGGTCCTAACCAGAGAAACGTTGGGTTTCTTAATGTTTTGCTTTTCCATCCGGTGAGGAGCTGGAATAAAAGTATTATCGAGGCCAAACATTACAGATGACTTGTTACTAGAAAATAACATTCCTTAAGTTCTGAAAACAGGATGGCCAGCTGGGGAGCTTTTCAGACATCCTGTGTTTTGAACATGGGCTTGCTTTAGCTTGCAGTTGGTCTTGTGGACCTAAAGCACAGGCTTGGTTGACAAGTGTAGCTTCTGAGTCACGGGGTCATCTTCTGAAATCACATCTGTGGCACAAGTAACCGATGCAAACTTCGAATAAAGAACTATCTACAGTGTGTAGTTCGGCCCACAGTCTTTGCAGTGTGAATTTCCTCATGGAGATACTCCTTATTTGGACCTAAGATGTAAGAGTTATTGCCAGTTCCTGGTTAAAAAAAAAAACCCAAGGGAGGCCTTGCGTGGAGCCCCAGGCACTAAATCATGGCTCTTGCTTGTTTCAGGTTGACGAAGCCTTGAAGATCAAGAACACTGACATTGCTAAAGAACTCTGCCTTCCTCCCGTCAAACTGCACTGTTCCAGTAAGTTACATCTTAAAATCTGCTGCCATTTCTTAATTAGTTTTTGCTAATTTCTCTTTTTTTATCTTTTACTGGAGGGGGAGGGGAACAGTCTAAGTCCTGAAACAATAAGTGTGAACAGACAACAAAGGAGGTGGACTTAAACCAGGCTTAAGGCCCCTTGTGCTTTTTTCTGCTGCTCGGCAGCGACTCCTCCTCCGCAGTGCCTCTGTTTCCTTAGAAACACTTTCCCAGGCTCTGGTAGAGTCTTTTTAAAAAGCCACCGAGCATTAAAAAGGGAGCAGGGGACTCTGAGGCCGGGGTGAGGAGCTTCATTCCCGGATTCCAAATTTAGTCCTTCGGGAGGGGGGGGGGCTCTTCTCAATAGCTGTTCATGAGAGCTACGCCTTGATGGTTTCCAAGCATGAACTGAGGGTTTGTCCTTTGGCCAGACAGGTGTTTGGCACTTCCCAGCCGGTGGGCATCCACTCAGGAGGCAGAGCCTAGAGGAGGTGCTGCCTCTGAGTGGGCGCCTGCCAGGGGAGGCAGGGCTGGGAAGCACCGCACACCTGTTCGGCCGAAGGAGGAACTGGCACGAACCGCTGGTTCTTTGCTCAGAGGCACTTTTGCGTTCAGGCGATTTTGCCTGCCTGCCTCCTTTCCCACCTTGCAACTGACGGTCTTTTCTCCTTGGCTCTTGTCCCTCTCCCAGTGCTGGCAGAAGATGCCATCAAGGCCGCCTTGGCTGATTACAAGCTGAAACAGGGGACAGGGAGTCCCGAGCCGGACAAGAAGGCAGCCAGCGCATAGAAGCCCTTCGTTCCGAATCCCCCCAAACCTCCCCTTTCCGCTCCTTCATCTAAGTGTGTGACTCCCGATGCAGCCGAGAGCCGATACATCGCCTTAGTGCATTTTGGGAAGATGCACGTCTCATACGCACAACTTCGGACGCTGTTCCAACCTCCACCACCAACTTGGCTGTTATTACAAGGTCACCTTCAGGTTTTTCGGCCACGGTCTTTTCTCTGTTCCCTGTTTGTGTAAAGGTGGGGGGAAAAGCTGTCTCATGATTTTAGCGTGAGGATTTCTCTGTAATCTGCGGCCTATTCATTTCACGCCTCCAGCCTGCATATTTGGGTAAGGGGTTCCAAATGTTTGCCAGGAGCGGCACCCGCCACCGCTCAACAGAAGGTCTTTCGGTTTTAAAGAAGAGGTGGGGATGTGTTGTTGTTTAAAACACATCCCTTTCTTGGAAAACACATGGCACTTGGGAGGCAAAAGTCAGATAAAGCAGACCAGCAGCAGCCTTGACGGAGGGCTGTGTTTTCTCCCACTGGGGCTACGCAGAGGCCAGTCTGTGCCAGAGGGGCACAATTGCCTCACTTTAAAACACATGCCTCTCCCTCTCCTTATTTGTCTTTGTTTGGGTTTCAAGGAAAGGAAGGTGTCTTGCCAGTTCGGGACTGCGGCGTGCACTAGCTTCAGATTTATTTTATGTACAATATGTGCTCTGTAAACATATGCAAAGATAATATATGGCTCGTGGGATCCTGCATAACAGACGGTGTTTTCATTTCGCCCTCGACCTTTCCGATGTCTGTTAAGGCCGTTCCGGGAACTATTCCTTCCGTGGCGGGCGTGGGGTTGCCAAAGCTGGCCGAGAGGCGGCCCAACACGGACGTTTGTAGGTGGCGTAGAGGGAGGGGGGTGTGCATGTGTGCGCCCGAGGGCCTGCATGGCTCCCACATGCTGCAGTCTTATTGCATGTATTAATAGGACAGTGCAGGATGCATAATAATGGTCAAGCTACAGGAAGCCCGATTGAGGCTCAGTATCAGGAAAAAACTTCTTCACTGTTAGAGCCGTAGGATGATGGAACCCATGACTTTGGGAGGTGGTGAGGGCTCGAGCACTAGAGGCCTTCAACAGAAAATCGGAGAACCCTCCGTCAGATCCGATAGTACTTGAATTCCTGCTTTGAGCAGGGAGTTGGACTCAAGGGCCTTCAAAGCCCTTTCCAATTCCGTGATTCTATGATATTCTGCATGTGGACCCCCAAGAGCAGCCTGGAACTCAAAAGAGTCGAGCCTTAGATTTCTCGCTGACACAACGGGGGGGATGGGGGGTGGCCAAAGTCTGCCATCCTGGGCAGGCAGGCAGTTGCCTGTATAGCTGAGCCCTGAAGGGACCAGCTTGTGGACGTAAATCAGCCCCCCAGGAACAAACCTCACACAGTGGGGAACACCACGCTGCGCTCCCTCTGGGCTGAGGGCGAAACGCTTTCGTCTGTGTTGGGAGACATGCCAGTATTTTTGCCCTCCTGCCCGAGTGCCAGCTGCTCTTCCCCACAAGGCCCGTGGGGCGCTTGGAATAATGTACGGGCAGCTCACATTTCCAACCGAAATGGTCACGCTTGACGACTGGCAGCTGCACTGTCTAAAGCCTCGCCCGTTGCAAAGCCCTTCCTGTCGCCAAGAGGGTTTCTTCTCTTCCCCCCCCCCTCGAAACTCCTGCCTCCGCCGAACCCAAGAGGCTGAGCACTCTTGAGAAATAAATAAATCTGCATGATTTAGATTTGCAAAGAGTTCCGGTTCTTGTTGAAGGAGGAGACCTGGGTGGGGCCGCCCAGGCAGCGACTGAGAGGAGAAGCTGGGACCCCTGTTTAGTCTTACGGCAGGGGACGAGGGAGAACCCTGGCAAATCGCCCTGTGCTCCCTTGAAGGTGGCATCTGAGGAAGAGAGCCTGCCACCCCAAGGACGGCGGTGCCCCGGCAAAAGGGGCCTTCCATGGCAGGCTGTCTCTGAAGGTGATGACGTGGCTCTCTCTTCCAGTCAAAAAAGAAGGCCATCTTCACACTGCCCAGAGTTCAGGCTGCGGAACTCCCTGCCCCAAGATGTAGTGATGGTGGCCCACTTTGGATAAATTTGGGGAGGTTGGATTCATTTGACAGGTTTAAATCGCGCCAGGGGTACAACAAGAATGGGCAACACGCACGGCACACCTCTTAAGATCTGTGAAAAAAAAGATGGGGTCCTTTTGTGGGCTGGTTTTGAGCCCCTTCTCCCCAAATTCCTGAGGCCCCTCTGAACCCCCCGCTGTTTTGGGTGGCGCTGTGACGTTCGCAGTCAATCAAACCGCACCCCAGCCGCTGTTGCTCTCGCCCCTGCCTCCTCGAATCTGTCAGTTGCGACCTTGGGAGGGAGCCCGTTGTGTCTTCTGTTGACACGTTTCCAAGTCCAGAGCACCGCTGGTCTTTGCATGGCCGAGGACCTTGAAAACGAGGAGGGAGAAAAGACCACGGAGAGTGGCCCAGGGGCTGGCTCAGCCCACGGGGTGGCCTTGGTTTGGCTGCAAACAAACCCGTACCCACCCCGTGGCTTATACTTGCCCACCCGGCTGGTCCCAGAGGTGTGGGGACAAAAGGAGGGGGGGGGACCAGCTTCAAGAAGGGTCTGCTCTCCCTTGGAGGGAAATGCTCTGGGGACGCAAAAAAGGCAGACACACGGAGTGCCCTTGAATTTCAGGGAGGGAGGGAAGCAAGGGTCTACCCTGGGGAGATTCCCTTTCAAATTGAGCACATATCTCCTTTTTCCGCTCAAAAAAACCCACCCTATTGCCAAGCCCTTTTTAAAAAAACATGTATCCACTGAAACTTGACTATTTAAAAGAAAACCCTACATTGGTTCATGTTAGAGGATCGAGTCCTCCGTACACAGCCCTGCTCCCTCGCTTTACTGGGATTTTTTCCCCTGGACGGTTTCCTCTTTCCGGCCCTGATCCATCACTCCGATCTCTGCCCCCGCTTGCAAAGTGGAAAGGGAGTGTTCGAGACAGAACGTGGAACAATGACTTTGGGGGGGGGCAGGGTCTGTGCGTGTGTGTGATGACTGGCTGGTGCATTTGTGCAAGAAAGCTGCTTCTCCGAGCGGAGGGTGGGTGCAGAAAACCCCCCAGTCCCAAAATCCCAGGGAAAACCAACGGGGTTAGGGAAAAAGTAATTCATCAGGGGGAGGGGGAGGGCCTCTCGGCTTTTTGCCTCTCTGGCCCAGCTATGCCGGCTATTTCCTCTTTTCATCCCAGGAGGGAAAAGGATTTCACAACCCCGCTTTCCACCTCTTCCCTCCCCCCCCCAGTAACTCCAGGCCAACGAGGACTTTGACATGGTCGAAGGGGGGGGAGGGGCTCCCCTGAGGATGCAATTTAGGAAACTGGCAGGAGGGAAATCCCTGGTGAGTCTTGAGTTACCCACCACCAAAGTCGGCTGCAGAAATGATCGTGGGTGCAAGAAAGCAGGACAGTTACTCATTCCCACAAATTTTCACAAACCGTTCCAGGATTCCTTCTCACAGACCAGACAGAGGGTTGAATTTCCATCCAGATCTTTAAAACATGACTTTTTAAATTTCTTTTTGCCTGCGATGGCTTCGGAAGTTGTATTCCAGCCTAGTCCCTTTTCCAAGCTACTCTAGTCTAGTCAAGAAGTGAAACTTAAGCCAAAAATGGTTTGGGTGTGTTTTCCCCCCCTCCCCTTGCATCCTTTCCAGCAAATCTGTCTTACCTCTCTCTTCGTCACTGTGAAGGAAGGAGCTCTTTTCGGTGGAGATAAACCTGCCCTGCACCCAATATTGAATATTGATGGACTCACAAGGCCTGGGTTCGAATCCCTGCCCAGCCAGAGCAAGTCATGGGGTGGCGGAAATGGTAGAACTATGCCTTAAATATCTCCCTTGTCTTGAAAGCCCTGTTAGGTAAGAGTCGTTCTCAGCCAGCTCCGACTTGACAGCTTGTATCCAAACCTACCTTAAGATAAACCTACCTTGCGGGGTTGACATGCCATAGGGAGGCTAACTTTTTCACCTGTACCCGTTCCTGCGTAGCCACTTAACACCCATACCTGAAATTCATGAAATAAAACATGCACCTGCATAGGAAATAAAAATACATATTTATTAGTAATTGTACAATGAACGGGGAACTGAGAAAGACAAGAACAGTCCATGCTGCAATTTTAATTTTTAAAAACTGGGCTCACTGCAGAATTGATTGTTCGATTTTATGCTCTTTTTTCTCCCTGCTTCATGTTCTCAGCTGTTTTGCAAGGGTTGCCCTGGAGCTGAAAACGGTTTTGGGGGAACAGACCAATAACTTCCATGGAAGAGTCCAAATTAAATGGCTTTCATTTAACTTTGGGGGAGGGTGTCACCTTGCAAAACAGAACACATATTGTTTGCCCCATGGAAGCACCTCCTGCCACACCCCATAGATGAAATAGCGTTGGGGGGGAGTTAATGCTATCCTCAGAAACCGCCAAATCACAAAAGTATTAGATGAGGAAAATTAAACACACAGCTCATGCGACAATCATGCCAGCGATGCTGGGAGTCGTCGTCGGATCCGTGGGAAGTGCCAAACGAGAAAAAAGATATGTCGTTATCTGCCCAGAAAATCTGTGTTTAAGGGAGAAAGAAACCACAGTCATAAATACCAGCAGAACCTTTAACGAAGAAGCGCACTGAAAGGACAACCGATTCTCTGCCGGCGCACACCCGCTTTTCAACTCCACCTCAACTTCTTCAAGGCTTGTCATGTAAAAGGTATAAAATGGACTCAATCCAGCTATCATGCTTATAAAAAGGACCCCGCTTTGTCCCAAAAGAGGGGACAGGCTAAAATTTCCATCTCTAAAGTCCTTTGGTAAAGTAGTACCGAAAATGATTTTTTTAAAAAAAAGAAAAGCTATCTCATGAAAAGAAAATCTCTTGTCTGTCCAAGAAACATTGGCAACAAACAGGCAAGGGAGATGTGTCAGCATTGCAAATATAACTGTCTCGCATGTATTATAAATCCAAAGGGGGGGGGATTAAGGTTGATTAATAAAGGTTGAAATTAAGGCTGATTGTGGGTTGATTGAGGCTGTTCAGGTTTCAAGAAATGCAAAAGGCTAATTTAGAGGGATTTCCACTCGTGATTGTCTTGAGGTCTTTTACACACACTCTCTCTCTCTTGGAATCATATAAATGCCTGGGTATTCCTGCATCCTTAAGTGTGCCAGTGACGTGTATAAAATATCGCAAGATTAAGGCACATTTTTCTTAGGACTGTTCATATACTTGGAAGCGCTGAAATGGTTCCCGGTGATCCCAGGCTTATTTGAGGATTTAAAGCTGGGGTCTGTCAGGGGCTTTCTCCCCCCTTCCTCCAGTATTTGAAGGCAGGTTCAAATTTGCACGGAAGATCCATATTCGCATTTAGAAGATGTTGGCCTGTTTTCCCTCTAGGAACGTAGCTCCTTCAAAGCTCCACCCCAGAGCAATCAGATTTGCAAATGAAGCCTGGGTGTACCATCAGAGGGCCAATCACAAAACATTTGCCAGAGGCAGAGGGGAGGAAAACATAAGTAGATGTGTTTTCTTGATGTACCCACGAGATCATCTCGTGTGACCCGAACTCGCTGGTGTCAGCAGTGGGATTTGTTATCAAACTGGGCTGGCCTACATAGAGAGTTTGTTGTGTATCACGTGAGTGGGGTTTAAAGCTTAATGTTGTGCAGATGTCAAGGAGTGGTCAAAGTGGCTATTGTTTGGTCTTCTGATAGGGTCACCCACTGAGTTTTCAGAATTGGGGCCAGAGGAAGAAAATGCGAAGCCAACAAATGACCTTCCCAGATCTTCCTTGGCTTCGAATGGAATGGCGTCCCAGCCCTTGTCTATAGGTTACGAATAAACTATCCCAGCTCTAGAAGGATGATGAAGTCATTAGAATACAGCCTGCGACACGAGCCTTGGAAGGAAACAGTTTGCCACAGATGATGCCATTCAATATAGGGCTTGGTTTCTCCGGAAGAGTCCCCTCAGCTGATGAGACTGCCCTCCATCTCACCCTGGACTCTAAAGGAGTATCTGGTGGAACCACGTGACGTGGCCGTGGCGGGAAAGGCCCTGAAAGGAAGACCACGGCAGGCGGCTTTCTAAGGAGGCTTCTTGACCTCAAGAGGTGGGCAGGTTGCGAGGTTGTTGATGCCCAAAAACGGGCCTTCTTGTGTCCCAACACTCCGTTTTTGTGGAGTCCATCACAGGTTCGACCTCCAGTGGAGGGCAAAGGTCAACCCCAGCTCAAGGCTGAGCTTCCTGGGAACCCTCCGGAGGTGGAGGGGCACCTGTCTCTCCTTCCTCGGGGTCAGGGGCTTGCGTTGGGGATGCCTCGGACACAGGCTTTTCCACAGAGTCCTCTGTAGGGGGCATCTTGGTCTCCTCCACCTGCGGTCCGTCCGCGCTGGACGAGCAGCCATCTCCTCCTCCTCTGACCTCCCCGTCCACTGAGTCGGGGGAAGCGGAGGCCTCCGTCTCCGGCACAGCCACTTCCCGGGTGCCGCCTTGCTCTTTCGGAGCCCCTTTCTCTTCTTCTTCCCCTTGCTCTTTGCTCTTCACTCCCTCCTCCGGTTCTTGGGCAGGCCCGTCCTGGGCGATTCTCACGCTCTCCCCGTTGGCCGTGACGGCTTTGGCTGGGGACTTGAGGTTCTGAGCGGCCGCCAAGATGTCGGCCTGCAGCTGCTTGGAGGAATCCACCGGCTCTTCTTGACGGCAGTCTGCGGGCTTTTCGGGGACCTCGTGGAAGGCTTTCGCCCCGCCGGACTTGTCGTTCTCGTCCACGTACTTCTTCTTCGGGAAGGACGACGGGTAGTAGGCCGACGCCTTGTGCTTCTGCTGGAGGATGACGGCGGCGCAGATGATGAAGAGGAAGATGAAGACCAAGGAGCCCACCACGATGATCAGGAGCATGTAGGTCTGGAAGAAGTCGACGATTCCATCCAGCAAGGTGAGGGAGGTCGACGTGCCGTTCACAGAGGTCCCCTCGAGGTCCTCCATGGAGGTGGGATCCAGACCCGACGCGGGGCTCACCGGGGGCGTGACGGAGGAAGCCCCCTCACCGTCGCCGCTCCCCCCGTTGTCTTCCAGGGCCGGTTTCAGGATGGACACTGAGGCAGACGTCTTGATCAAGATGACGACGACCAGGAAGAGGCTCATCTTGGTGGCCATTTTACCAGTCAGAGGCATTCGGGACTCTCTGGAAGAAACGAATCACAAACAGGGCCCAAGGGAGCTATTATTCTTAAACCTGCAGCCCATGCCATGTGCTAAATCATATGCTCTGAACTACGCCCCCCATTTTAGCAAACGAAGCGCTCTGTGCATGTTCAGAGTCCCCCTTGCCTGTTCTTCTGGCTTCCCATACTTCATGCCCGATGTGCAAAGCATGCAGTCCCAAAGGGATGTTTTGGGAAGCATCCACCACCTAAGTTTGCAGCAACGATCTATAGAAAAATTAACTAATTATGGATGCTCGTAAAACGGACGCTGATCATGAAGAGTGGGGGTTTCAGGCTCAGGGGGAGGCTGGGTTCAAAAGCCCCACAATCTTGCCTCGGTTCCTGCACAAGTCACAGGTCCTCTCCGGCTCTCCCCCAGAGCTGTGGAGCTATACACCTTTTGGGACTACATCACCCATCCTCCTGCCAAAGAGTATGGCCCTTGGGGGGATTGTGGGATTTGTATTCTGAAAAAAAAAAAAATCAACACACGCCCAAGCTTTGGCCTAGAAGAGGTTTCGTTCTGCAAAAATCACTGGATGATTGGAATTAATTCGTTTCTCAGGATGCAAAACTGGAGACCGCTGGGCTGGGGCTGATTTCAGTCAAGCTCTGAGCGGCTGTCTGGAATGGAGGAGGCTTAAACGCCCAGATCCTGCCTTGCACCCACTTGGGCTTGGCTGGCGGTTAAATTCCTGAGATTTGAGATTTACAATGGAAACGGTTACGCAGGGAAGCCCGGCTGATCCCACGCAGCGGTTTACTTGAGCCGCCGTTGGGGCTGTCGGAGAGATCCGAACACAGTTTGAAACAACACTGCTCTCTCTTTCCCGCGCTCTTAAATTTGGAAAACTTTTAAAAGGCCTCTCAAGAACTGGAACCTTACAGTGAGGAACGGTCACTCTGCACATGGGCAGAGGCTAACACCACTCCTCCCTGGGTTTCCCTCCTGAATCGGACTCTCTGCTCTAACTCCTCCTCCACAGCCTTTTTCCTAAACCAGGCGCTCCCCAGGGGAAGGGGGCGTCCTGGAGACAAGCTGTCCCCATTTCTGTCCAAAAATCCCCCCCCCCTATTTGATGGCTTCCTGCAGAACTGCAAACTCAGACCCAGGGAGCGGTTTGACCATCTGGATTTTCCTGCGGCCAGAACAGCCGGAGAGCAACTCTGCTGAATCAGACTCTCGTATAAGCCCAGCATCCTGTTCCAGGCAGGAGGCGGCAAAGATCTTTCTGGGAAACCCATAAGGAGGGCATGAAAGCAGCTCTCCCTCCTTCACGCATGCCCAGGCGCTCGGCTCAAGCATCTGGCATGCAAGGGCGATGTGTCGTCTCCCCCCCACCCCCCCGGCATCTAACCGAAATTAAAAACACCAAGCCTCCTCTGATACAAACTCATATGAGCCTTTGAAGTCTATATATGGATGCTCGTTCTTGACGAGAGAAGAGGGTTTTGGACGTCTTCTAGTGGTGAAGAAACATCTGGAAGCATTCCACCCGTGGGATATTTTTAGGGGAGAAAAATGTTTTTTGAGCTACGATCCGCTCTCCTGACCCCCAAGGGCCATTTAGCTCCTGGTCGTCCCAAAGAGGGCCCCGATCTGCACTTGAGGGGATGAAGGGTTGAAGCAGACGCTCAGAACGAAAGGGAGGCCGTTGGAAAATAAAAATCCACATTTTCTTATCCACTGTCCTTTCCTGGCCCCTTCTCCTAACCCAAACTCTGTAGCCTCCCAGAGGTTGGAACTAAAGCTGCGGGAGAATACATCTCTCAACTCCCACATGATTTCTCTTAAGAATTTGCTCCCTGGGGGGGAAAAACTGCCTGGATAGACCAGCTGAGAGATGCTGGAAGCCCTCAGAAACGTCTCCAGGCTCTGCGGGGGCCAGAAACCCTCCCAATTCAAGATCTCGTCTCTGTGAAGGCCACTCAAATGTTGTTGCATTGAAACCTTTCCCCTCCTTGTTTCTTCCCAGCCTCTGGTCTACAGAGGTAGACTGCAAAGGGACATGGAGGTTACATCTCATACTGATAGCTGCCCCTTCTCTCCCTCTCCGCTCCTGATTAGAGCCTGAAATTTACAGAGCAAGAATCTGATACAGTACTTATTTCTGCCAGCCCAGAACAGACCCTTGGGTGAGGAAATTACTTTTTTTTAAAACTACCTTTCCCAGAATCCCCCGGGGCTTCTACTGTCAGTGGCCACGGTGGCGGGGGGCGGGTGAGTGTTATTCTGCCAGTCCAAAAAAGGAGCATTTCCAAGGTCGGGCCAGGAATGCAAGGGTGGCTTTGCTTTCGTGGAACTGCAGACGGGTTTTTTTTATGGCGCCGTTTTATGGAAAGGCACCCTTTGCCAGAAAAAAGTCCAGACCCAGTCAACGAAACCGCCTGCACCCCTGCAAGGCCCACCACATCCCAGTTACTATTTTGGTCGGCAGCAAATTCTTCAGACTTACAGACCCCGCCGGCCTCCTTCTTCCCCCTTCCCGAGAGGCACCGCAGATTCCCCCTAAATCCGTTGTGATTTTTTTAAAAAAGCTCTGTAATCTGAGAATTGCTGCCCCCTTTTCCTCCAGCCAGGAGCGGATCTGCTGGCGATTAAACCCTCAACGCAGGCCCTTGGGCGCCTGGGCTCCGCGCAAAACGTCCCAGAGAACCAGCTGCAAAACCTGGAGGCCGGGCAGCCTTTAATTCCATTTTTGTTTTAATCGGACAGGGGGTCGGACATCACGCGTGCAGCCGCTTGGACACGCAGGCCAAAGGGCCACCCCGGGGAAACAGGTTCGGGAAACAGGAGAGCCAATACATTCGGTCGGTGGCACTGGATCTCGGCCCCAGAGCATGTACAGAGTGCCACTCCCTTCGCTCTGACTGGCTGTGTTGGCTTGAGTGAAACACACTCTGCACATGCTTGGTTCACTCAGGCTAAATGGAGGAAAGGCCTAAGGGCCTCACAGCCCCCCCCAAAAAAAGGGGACGGGCAGAAGCTGCCCGCACAGCTGTGGCTCCCGCCTGCATCTCCGTGTGGGGGTTGCATTGCACCCGAAAATAATTCTAGGGATGTTTTTTTAAAAAAAACTCCTCTGAGGCAGACCAGCGGCCGAAAGAAGCCACGGGTGGATCGAGCTGCCCCAGAATCTGTTTCCAGCTCCGAAATTCAAGCCTGGGTGTGAACAGGGCAGCAGCACCTCTGAGCATAAGCAGAGTGCACGGTCCCTGTTGCCACCGTGTGCCACATCTGGAATCCAGGGACGGAGGGAAGTGAAGCCTGGAGCCCAAATTCCAAGGGGCCCAAAAGAATCCAGTAACTTTTCCAAGTAACTTTTCTTCCCTGGGGAAAAATTCACAGCCCAAGGAAAGTCTTGCCCTCTGTCCTGTGCGCATCCGTCAGAGAGAGAGAGGATGATGCTTGAAAGCCATCTTCCTCTTCCTCCTTAAGGCCCGGGGGCCCGGGTGTGTGTGGAGAGATTCCAGGCTCTCCCAAGCCGGGCCCGGGTGGCCGAGGATGATGGGAGCGCTTGGGGTCAGGAGGGAGAAGCGCTTTTGGAGAGGGGGGTTCGCGCGCGCATCAACCCTTTCCCAAGAGCGCAGGCTAGAAAACGCAAGGCGGAGGGAAGGCGAGAGAAATGGAGAGAGGGAGAGATTTGGGGGATCGTTTTTTTGGTGGGGGAAGCTTTTGCTGGAGAGCCGAGAGAAATAAAGGAGGACAGAAACACACACACACACACAAAGAAACCCTCTGGAGTCCCGCGCTGGGCGCGGATGCTGGAGACGGTTGTTCCCCGCACAGAACTTTTCCAAGTACAGTAATGAGGAAAAGACCGCGCGGGCCCCCTTCAAGGTGGATCAAGCCCGTGCAGGGGGGTGGGGGGGAAGAGAGAGAGTTACCGGCTCACCTGGGGAAGCGTCCGGGGGTCGGAGGGGGGTCCGGAGGGCTGAGCCCCGACAGGCGGCGGCCTTCTATTATCATAACATAACCCAGAATTGGCAAAAATGCATGTTGTGAGCTGCTAACAACCACCTCCTAGATCATAGAATCATAGAAACATAGAATCATAGAGTTGAAAGGGGCCTCTAAGGCCATATAGTCCAACTCCTGCTCAAAGCAGGAATCCAAACTTTGCTACGAGAGGCGGCCGCCCTCCAAGCGGCGGGGAAGGAGAGGGAGGGGGAAATCGGGCTGTGGGGCGGGCGAGGGAAGAAGGAAGGGAGAAAGTTAAGGCAGAGAAAAGAGGGAAGGGAAGGCAAGAGAGGAGGAAAGCCCCAGGAAGAGGGAAAGGGAGGAAACTGGAAGCAAGTCCCGCTGCCCGGGAGAGAGCGGAGGAAACTGGAGGGGGGGGAAAGAGAGAGAGAGCAAGGGAGCAGGAAAGGAGCACCCCCCTTCCACGGCTATCCAAAGGGAGCACCTCATTCTGCATCAAAAAGGGCACCCAGGGTGCGGCTGTTTCTATTTGATTGGATTCATCTGCCACCCCATTTGTCCCTTTGAAAGGTGGTGCTGGAGGACAGCTAGACGGATACGCCCTGGAAGGCCAGAAACATAAATAGGTGGGTCCGAGATCCAGCCAAGCCTGAACCCTTTCCACAGGCAACAATGCTGAAGGTGAGGGCGACTGTCTTCCTTTGGAGACACCACGAGAAGGCCACATGCTCCAGAAAAGGCCATCAGGGCTGGGAAAAGTAGAGCACAGCAGGGAAGGAGGAAGAGCCTGTGTGAGATGGGCCGACTCGCTCAAGGAAACCAGAGGCTTGGGTTTATAAGAGTTGAGCAGAGCCTCGGAGGACGGGGCATTTCTGGAGATCCCTCACTCCTGGGGGGCGGCAGAAGTCAGGGACAACTGGATAGCCCATAATAACAAGATCTCATGAACTCCAAAAAATGGTTACAGGAGGGAACACACAGTCCCGTGCACACACAGAGATGCTATTATTCAGAATTCCTCTCTAAGCAACACATTTTCTTCCTTTCGGCTATGCAGGGAAATCTGAGAGCCAGCATTTCCCTCCGTGTTCCTTAAAAGACCAGAGAACGCGGCTGTGATCCAGCAACCCAAAGGCCTGGTGTAAGAGAGAGAGAGAGAGTTTTCCCACCGAAAATATCTCAGCAAAAATGCCTTATCAGTCTCATAAATATAGGGCTGTCAATGTCACAGTCCAATAACAGACAGTATCAGCTACACCATTTCTCATGCGAAACGGAAGTGAAAAAGGGGGTGGGGATGATGGGGGAGCTGGAAGGCCTTCTTCAAGGGTTTTTGTATTTTGATTTCTCAAAAGAAAGAAAGAAAAAAGTTTTTTTTTCTCCCTTTCCTTCCTTCACTCCAAATAATATTTTTTTAAAAAAAAAATCCTTAAAGGAGCCACAATCGCCTATGAGTCAAGAGACAGACACCGAACCAAAATTGGAATAAGCACAGAAACAAAGTTTGGAAAAGTTTATAAAAGAATTCTTTTGGGAGGGGGTTTTACGGGCTCCTGAATTCCCCTTGCTTGAGGATGATAGGCATTGTCATCCAAATCAACTTGTTTTTGGGGGGTGAAAGGAAGGTGTGCTCTTGGCTCCCTGTGAAGCGACTCAGAGGACGTGGTCCGTCCAAGGAAGGAAAAGTTTCTGTTCTCAGAGGTGCCTAAACACAGCTAGAAACATTAAAAGTTTTTTAAAAGAGACAATGATGTAATAAACTACCTATAATGTGATGCATGATCAGCAGGGAGAAAGTACTGGTTTTTCCAGTGGGGTGAGAAACAAGCGGAGTGGTCCAGAGCACTGTGGGAGAGGACGGTGGCCTGGACTGCTTTAACGCTGCAACATTCTGTTGCAGAGCCCTGGAAAATTCAGTGCTGTCATGGGGGAGAGAAAAAATCCAGGATTTTTCCATCATTTGCAGCGCCCCCTTTTCACCCTTGTGCTCCTGCTAGCACACACACACACACACACACACCCATGGCGGGGACCTTTTTATTCGCTGTTTGCTGAAGAAAACCTAGCCGGTTCCCGAAGGGCCTCCATCCCCAGGGTCTGTAATTTAGCCCAGGCGGTGAAGCGCCCGGCCTCGGCCCTGCCATTCTGCGGCCATACTTCAGCACAACGCAAACGTGCAATTTGACAAGACATCGCCCGGCTGTGCTTGTAATTTGGTTTTCGTTCTCTGTCTGTTTTTTTCCCCCCCTGGAATGGACTCTTCTTTTTTCTTTCTTTTTTTGGCTGGGTCAGCAAGTATGTGACTGGAGTCATGCCGTCCTTGAATCATAGGCAGGGAAGAGAGATGCTTTTTCCAGGCCAAGATCATCACTTTTCCAGAGCTAAGGACTCCAAAAACGAGGCTCAAAGATTCAGCGGCCTCCAAGGGGTCTTTTTTTTTCCTGCCCCGAGTACGAGAACTGTGACTTTCTTTCGGTTCGAAAAAGCAAAGCTTCTGGGCTTCGCTGTTGAAACGGCAACGCTTGAGATGACCTGGACCGAGTTTTTGCAAAACAGAACCTGCCACGCTTTCCTTGTTGGAGGGGGACTACAACCCCTATCATCCCTCTGCTGGCCAGGGGTGGTGGATTCTGGGAATTGTTGTCCAGGATGCAGTTTTAAAGCCCCGGTTTCTAGCAAGGGTAGAGAGATGGCTCAGCGCTGCTTCTTTTGGGACAGACAATTGCAGGGATGGCTTCACGGATGGCTTGCCGGCCGGCCTTTCCATGGTGGGAGCAAAACTGGCTTCTATGGGGCCGGGAGGGGGGGGAAGGCTGCAGCTGGATTTTTTTTTTTTAACCAGGCTGATGGATTAAACTCCTAAACCTTACTGGAGAGGGAGGGGAAAAAAGCTGGCTTCTCCTTAGCCCAGATCCCGGTTCTGAGCCAAAGGGAGCGAAAGGTTCCTGTGCACAGACGGCAGAATTGAAACACGCAATTCTTGCCCATCCTTATATCGGAGGCAGAGACGGGCTGGAAAGACACCCTCGGGTTCGAAAACATCGGCTAAAAGGAAGGCCCTCGTTTCCACGCCACTCTCCCTCTTCAGGGATACGGGCCCGGGAAATGAACCCATAAGGGGCAGGAGTCCTCTGAGACCACCTGGGGGGATTCTGGGCTTTGTGGTCCGACCGACCGGTCCACGCTTTGGCATCGAAGCCCTCTTTCAAGGAACAGGGCCTGGCGTGATGGAGAGCGCAAGGGGGAAGCGATGTAGGGCAGGCATCGTTTTCTCTACAAGGCTGGACAAAAAGCATCTTTCGGTTTTGGAGAGGAGACAGCCCAGAAGGATGGCGGGGGGGGGGAAGAAAACTCAAGGCAATCTCACCCCCCCCAGATGATATGGCTGAGCTCCAGGGCTTTGGGGGGGGAGCGCGCTAACCTTTCCACCATACAGCCTTCTTCCCCTGCCAAGGGGGTCCCGGCCCCCCTTTAAAAGCCCCCCAAGCCAGGGAGGGATTCCAGCAACTGGACTCCTGGAGATCAGCCTTATTTTGGGTGGGAGCCTGCCTCAGGCAGAGGGGGAGAGAGGCCAAAAGACTGAGATTTCTTATCTATTACAGATTTTATCCCGCCCTTCCTCTGAGGAGTCCAGGGCGGAGGCTCTGGCGTGAGCCACCTCACTTAATCCTCTCTTGTGAAGCTAAAATCCCCCCCCAGCCTCTTCTGGGACTCAGGGAGGATTCGAATGCAGCACTCCAGGGAAGAAACGATTTAACAAGCTATATACAACATCCATAACGGGACACTCGCACACAGAAAAGACTCTGGGAAAACCACCTTGAATGAGAGTTGCTCAACGTCAGTTAAAAAGCCTCTATGGAAAGGGAACCCACCACCCTTCGAGGTAGACCATGCCATGGTCAGATGGGTCTTGGAGTCAGAAAGAGCCAACATTGCAGGGTGGGAGGGAAGGATTTTTAAAAATTTTTTATTTATTTATTTTTTTGGCCTGGATGCCCTGCCATCAAAGCCACAGATCTGGAGAAGCCGCTTTCCTGCCCTGCCACAGTCTCTATCTTTAGAAACTTGAGTTTTGGTCCCCCCCCCCCAACTCCCAAATTCGC